TGACACTTCCGAACAAAGCTGAAACAGTCTTTTTCCATGGTTATCCAGTAGTAGCCTGCTCGGAGGATTTTCTTTGCCAAAACATACCCGTTCATGTGGGGTCCACACACTCCTACGTGTACTTCATGCATGATCCTTCCGGCCTCTTCGGCATCAACACATCTTAGCAAGTTGAGATCTGTACAAGACATCACCAATTAAAAAGAAACCACTAGTGTGCCGTCTAATGGTTCTCTTTTGGTCTCCAGTGGCTTGCTCGGGGTATTCTTTAGTTTTCAGAAATCTTTTGATGTCATGGTACCATGGTTGGGTATTTGGTTCTGCTTCAACTGTATTACAATAACCATGCCTTTCCCGGATTTGGATTTCCAAGGGATCTATGTGAGCATTTCCTGGGTACGACAGTATTAAGGCCAATGTAGCAAGTGCGTTAGCCAATTCGTTGTGACAATGAGGGATGTACCTGAACTCTATCGATTTGAATCGCTTGTTGAGGTCTTCCACATGCTGCCTGTAAGGGATAAGCTTAACATCTCGGGTTTCCCATTCTCTCTGGGCTTGCCGGATAATCAGATCTGAGTCTCCCATGATCAGTAACTCTTCAACGTCCTAGTTGATTGCCATGTTTATACCCATGATACAGGCTTCATACTCGGCAGTGTTGTTTGTGCAGAAGAACCGAAGCCGAGCTGTGGCTGGGTAATGCTGTCTGGTAGGTGAGATCAAGACTGCTCCAATTCCCACGCATTTTGCATTTACCGCTCCATCGAAGAACATTTTCCAAGCAGTAGTATCCTCGGATATTGCCTCGACTGAGTTTACCTCCTCATCTGGGAAGTAAGTGTTCAAAGGTTGGTACTCATCGTCAACCGGGTTATCAGCCAAATGATCCGCCAACGCCTGGGCTTTCATTGCCGTGCGAGTGACATAGACTATGTCAAATTCAGTGAGCAGAATCTGCCATTTCGCTAATCTCCCCGTGGGCATTGGTTTTTGGAATATGTATTTCAAAGGATCCAACCTGGTTATAAGGTAAGTGGTGTAGGCTTGCAGATAGTGTCTCAGCTTCTGAGCTGCCCAAGTTAAGGCACATCAGGTTCTTTCCAACAGAGTATACTTAGCTTCATAGCCGGTGATCTTCTTGCTCAGATAGTAGATTGCTTGCTCTTTCTTTCCGGTTACATCATGTTGCCCGAGGACACAGCCAAAAGAGTTTTCCAAGACTGTCAGGTACAAGAACAGAGGCCTCCCTGGCTCTGGTGGGACCAAGACTGGCGGATTTGACAGATATTCCTTGATCTTATCAAAAGCTTCTTGACATTCATCCGTCCACTTGATCGCCGCATCTTTCTTCAGCAATTTGAATATGGGTTCACACGTGGATGTCAACTGAGCAATGAACCGACTGATATAGTTTAATCTGCCCAACAAACTCATCATATCTTTCTTGGTTTTCGGAGGAGGCAAATCCCGGATAGATTTTATCTTTGTTGGATCTAACTCAATACCTCTCCGGCTGACTATAAAGCCCAAAAGTTTGCCCGATGGGACTCCAAACGCACATTTGGCTAGGTTCAGCTTCAAATCATATCTGCGCAACCGCTCAAAGAATTTTCTCAGGTCTCGAACATGGTGATCCTGGGTTTTGGACTTGATGATCACGTCGTCCACATACACCTCTATTTCTTGGTGCATCATATCATGNAATTGTTGGCAGAGTCTTTTCTGAAGACATTCCGATGCTCCCCTTTGATCTAGTAAAGTATGGGTGCGAAGCCAGGTTACCACAAAAACCAACCACCGTTCTATAAAAACCTGAACTGATTATTAACAGCAGCAAACAGTTAGTTTGAGACAAATAACAGATAGGTAATCGCACGTTGGGGGTATGATGCACCTATACAGTTAAATGTATTTCTACATGCTTTGCAACAGTTGCATGCTTCATCCCGGCTTTACTTATTCTTCCCCATTTTTCTTCTTTCCACTTTCACTCTTCCCTTTTCATCTCTCTTTTTGTTTTTTTTCTTTTCTTTTCTTCTCTTGCCCCTTTTTCTCTCATTTTTTTTACTTTTCTTTTCTTATTGGAGCTATTCACAAAATTAATAACCGGATCCGATGAGGATTGCCTACGTATCACGACGCCGCGTGAATCAGATCATTACGTAGTTCAAGAAAATAAAAGCGAAAAGTAAGGAAACAAATTTTTGGGAATTTTTGATTTTTCATTAATAAAACTTCTATTACGAAAGATTTCAAACTACTCAAAAAACTACCAATAGACTCAAAATAAACCAAAATACAGACTCAATACATGAAAATCAGAAATACATTAAAGCTTCAACTCCTGGGGCCCGCGGGGCATCATTCGGCCTCGCCACGGGCCTATGTGCGAGACCCCCTTGTAGCCGCTCCAAATCGCTCATTATCTGGCGGGCGAATGTCATCACTGCAGCGAAGAAGGTGGTTCGGGTCATATCCTCACATGCTTGGCATTTTGCGACAATGTAGTCGGCAATAGCCCTAATCCTTTCTCGAACCCTACCCTTTTCCTGAAGTAGCCGCCCGATTTGCTGGTTTCGGGCTTCTAACACTTGAGAGTCGTGAAGGTGTTGATTTTGCAACTGTTGTATTCCTTCCTCCATCTGAGCCATCAAATTATAACAGTGTTCCCTATCAGCTTTGAAATCTTTAGCCTGCTTGGCTGCCTCATTCTCAAGAGTGGTTACCTTTCTTCTCAAGCTGGTGATTGTCCCTTCATACTTTCTCTTCATTTGTTGCACAAACTATGTCCGACCTTTTGCATTTTCCGCTAATTGAGCTCGGGCGTTTGCTAGACTGGCCTCAGACTTTTCTAGGTCATCTTGACACTCAAGGGCTTTCTTTTTCAGACTGCTTATAAGCCTTTCATCCGCTCGGCTTCTTTCTAGGTTTCTAGCAGCTATTTTCATCTTTCGGATTTGAGCTTTGAGGGCTTCATTTTCTTGAGTTAGTTTTTTCTTTTCTCCCTCATCTGCGGCAACTTGGATACTTTTGGAAAATTCAAGGTCCCTGATTTGTCCTTCCAACTTACCAATTCTAGCCCTGTAGCTTTCTTCTTTTGCCAACCAGCCCCATTGCTCTTGCGAATCGTGAGTGAATTGTTGCACGTGGGCTCTCTTAGCAGGTCTTTGAGGAATCTAGAATCTTTTACCGAACCAAACAATGTACTTGGGGTCCACTTCACCTCTAGCTAGATCTCGCACCATGGTCTTAGGTTCAAGAACTCTACATTCATTCCACACCTGGCGAATTCTCCCTTCTGGAAATGCGGCTTTTGGGCCCAATTCAATGACATGTTTACTCAAATCTTCATCATTGGGGACGGTTTGAAATCTTCCTAATTGACGCAAAACCCTGTGGGGAGCATAAGGCTGGATGCTCCGGATACTCAAATCTTCAACCGACGTGTATACTGCTTCGGTGACAGGAAGCCATCCGAATGCCCACTCAATTTTATCGGTGGTCAAGGAGTTCAAATGTGCAAGCCAAGCTTCAGTACCCTCGAGGAATTCAATACCCACTACTCAGCTTTCAAATTCTTCAATGCAACTTAAACCGGTCATACCATAATTCATATATCCAACTCGGTGACAGAGATGTTCCTGCATCCATAATTGTAATAACAGATTGCAGCCTTGGAAGAACTTCCCCCTTCCCGACAGATAGTCAAGGCTCGATAGATTTCAGATAAGATCAGAGGAACCACAGTGTTGTTGGCTTTCTTAATTGCAACATCGATCATTCCCACGAGACCTATCTCTATATTACCATCTCTTTCGTGGACAAACTACAACACCCAAGAAGGCTACCATAAAAGCTAAACCCTGCCTTGCCTTCCCAACAGAGTCGCCAGAGCTGTCACACCTCCTTTTTTACACAACCGGAGGTAGTACAAGGGAGTTTTTCCAATTTAAGTGACATTATTCGAAATGGGATTATTTTATTTAATTTTGTTCAGAGTCGCCACTTGGGATGGGTTCGTTTTCTGGTGTCCCAAGTCACCGGTTTATTTCAAATCCCAAATCGAGGAAGATTTCGACTTTCCTTTTGAAGTCTGCGAACCAGAAATTCTGAATAAGGAATTCTGTTAACCCGAGGGAAGGTATTAGGCACCCCCGGATTCCATGGTTCTAGCACGGTCGCTTAAACTATCATAATTGGCCTATTATCTGATTTTAATACATGTTTTAACTAATGCAATTTTAAACTTATTAACCGCTTTTGATTATTTTAAAGAAGATTTAACGTCGTTTAAAATATGTCTTTGGATCGTGCCACATGAAATGAACCCGCAATCCGAAACACATTTTATTCGACGTTATTAAGATTTGGATTGGGGTCACATGAAATGCACACCCGAGTTTAGGAAGGTAATGTTATTAAAATAACGCGCCTAAAGCAACTACGCGTTGTTAACTTTGCGAGGGCCATGGAAATTTGCTAAATGGCACGCCTCAAATTCTATGAATTTTAAAAGGTATGATTAAGTGAGGGCCACGCATTTGAGCTTTTATTTAGCGCGGCGCACCTCGATTCCATTTTTAAAAGTAAAGGTATTCAAACTAAAGCTCGGAGGGCCATAAACTACTTGTTTTATCTAATACGGCACACCTCAATTATTTAAGGGAGTTCGATTATTTGAGCAATTAAGGAGTCAGAATTGTAGTACTGCATGGGTTAATTCAAGAAAGACTAAAGCTAAAGGTTTAAAAAAAACTTGGGCTAGGCATGAGGCCCAACAGCCTGCCATGACTGCCCCAACTAATAAATCATAAAGCCAATCGCACTGGCCCAACTAATGAGGCCGGCAATTTCAATTCAAGTGGACTCATGGTCCAAGGCCCACAGAATCGTCCAAATCTAGGCCCAATAACATTGACCAAAACACAACAACAAATGCACATGAAACCAATATTGTGGTCTGCCTCAAATAGTCATTTTTAGAAAAAAGAAAAGCTGAACATTGTGCAAAACACTAGATTTGAACGCATGAGATGAAATATAAAACCCAGTCACAAACTTAACAACAGCAAATGAGTGAAACATTGTATCGACCAACTAATTTTGGTAACTTGCCAAACCACAAACTCATTATTTGAGTCCTAGTTCTCAAGACCATAAATGCATCCCTCAAATTCCAAAGCAAATGATGAAAGAATAAGATATAAAATTCAGGTTCTAAAAATAAGAAAGAAAAAAACTAAGCTAAACCTTAAGTCAATTTTAAACTGGATCTTAAAGAAAACCAAGA